ATTCCAAAGGAAACCCCTGTTTGTGGCCTCATGATGAATTCTTTGCTGTACTAGGAATAAAATGGAGTGGTCACTTCTAAATGAAGAAGAGGATTTGGAAAATGGCACAGAGTGAGAAGGCTCAACTCAAGATGTAGCTCTTGGCCACAGACCATCTTTGTTGTCTCTGACGTTAAAGTAGCTCCTAAAAAAGTAATCTCATGCCCATCCCTGGAACAAGGGAAATGAGAAAGCATGGGCCATCAGAGCCAGGAACCTTAGCAGAGGCCAAAGAGGGCAAAGCAGATCTTTTATGAAGGGTGGAAGGAGAGGGGTCATGGGTACGCTGGGGTCATTTCCAAAATCAATTTAGTTGGAGCCAAAAATCACACTGGGTTTAACATTGTGTCCAAACAAAGTCCACTGGGGACAAGCCTTGGGGAAAGACTTGAAAATGAATTCTGGACAAAGTTTCATGACTTTTTAGTCCTCATAGTAGATAAATAATGGAAAAAGATAATTGATATTTAGGTAGAAGACTGGTAGTAACTTTCCCAGCACTTGAGAGGGAGAATTTCGTATTTACTAAGCTGCAGAAAGGCTGAGGACCAGGTGTCTGCAAGAGAAGGGCCCAGAGCTCAGAGACCACCCACATATCTTAGAGCCTAAGAAACTTTCCCACCCAACACTCCCAACACTTTTAACTTCACTTTTTGAGTCAATCTCAAAAAATCACATGAACAGCACTTACTGGGGAGAACATGAAGTTGTGTCCCTTTTCCAAAGATGACTTTGTAAGAATTTTGTTCACACTGTGATAGGGATCATAACAAAAACTCCTAGTAACTCTTTTTGGGAAAGCTACACATTCCCATACACATTGATGGATATTTCACCTTCTTGGACTTAACACATTCCCATATTGTCTCTTTTCGTATAATAAACAGGCCTCATTATCTGCTCAGTCATCTTTCTCTGTGTCTCTTGGTTGTTCTGCTTGAATTTTATGCTGCTTATTGCAAACATGCAGAGAGGAAATTGAATGACCTCATTTGACACTGAGAGTGAATTATAACAGCAACAATTCAACAAACTCCTTTCTGATATCAAACACAATTCTGTTACTGCAGGCAAAAAATGCCTGGAAGACAGCCACTGAACTAGAAATCCACTCTTCTGAGCCCATACAAGGATAGGGGCAGGAAATGGGCCATGTTGGACACACATCTGAATTTCCACCTGGGATGGACTGCATCACAGAGCTCTTCCCTTACCCTGGCTCTGAGCCTTAAGTTTCAGAATCAGCCATGCCACCAAATTCTGAGGATACTTTGCCTCAGGTCAAGCACATGTTTGCTACACTCATTATAGACCTGCCCAAGCTGGGGTCATGGAGATCACTCATGTTAGCCCAAAGGGCCAAATTTTTTGAGGGTGGGGAAATGTTCTCCTTTTACAGTCCATGGATGTGGTCTCTCACCACCAAGAGATGGAAACATGGAAACTGTATGCCGTTGCCATCAATCCTGATGGGATCCTTGTTCACCATGTAAAGAACCAAGCCCCATTTCCTCCTCCTCATTGTCTCCCTCACCTCAAAGATGCTCTTTGCCATGGTCTTAAAAAAAGTTAATGTGGATGGTTACATTTACTAGATTTAAAACAAACTTATGGAATCATCTAGCTCATTTCCTTGTCTTCTAGCATTTCCCACAGCTAAACCATTTAAGAACAGGCTATCCTATTTTAAAGCTCCTTGAGTTGGTCACCCATATTTGCAATTATAACCTGTTGTAGGGTTTGATAACCCAGTTAGTCAACGTAACGACACCTGCCTCTTAATATTAATTTTTGGTTTGACATTTGGATGAGTCCTGTTGTCCCCTCAAAAGCAATGTGGGGGAACCGACACCCCTGGAACATCCCTAGGAAGGCCAGGCTCCTGAATGCCTTATTTCCCTCCTTTCCAAGGAGGTATGTTTAAAACGCTTTTATTCCCCATGGAAGAAATATGATCATTAAACAAAAATCTCGTCGTCATGCCTGTCATTCTATTTCACTCTGAATTTCCTTTCAGGTGTTTATAAAGCCATCTGGGATTGGCAATTTGTCTGAGAATTATTTCCCCCCCATTGCATTTGAATAGTAAGGCTGTGTTTTCAGTGAAATTTGACATGTACAGCAGATGTGGACATTTGTCAAAATGGTACAATGTTTGCGTTTCCTATTAGATCTTTTAGAATAAATATATATGCAGGCAAAAGAGACAAAAACGGAACCTTATAAATATTAGTAGCATTTAAAATGAGATAGTTTCTCATTTATAATACAAAGGAAGACAAATTCTATGGGAAAAAAATCACAGTAAGCACACAAATCATTGCAGAACATAATTTAAGAGATACTGTGGCTGTAAATAACTCTTGGCCTCAACATCTCTCTGGAAAAAGAAGAGCTGAGTTACCATATTAAAGGTGATTTGGGATGGTCTCATTTTGCATCTATTTATCATTATTACTCTATTTTCAACAATCATGACTGTTTCACACATTTGCAAAAGTCATTTTTCAAGATGTACATTTGTTTACATATTAAATTAAATCTCCACTAACTTCATAGGACTTGTTTGGTCAAATATAAATAGAACATGGCCACTTACTGGGCTTCACCACCAGCTGGGTTCCATTTCCAAAGAAGACCCTGGCATTGTTATTCCCACAGCATTTCCTGCCTTTACTGAAAGCTTTAGTGAAACCCAACCAAACACATGGCACTCTGGCGAGGAGGCAATTGGACTCTCTATGGTTTTTTTTCCCTATGTTTCTGGAAATGGGCTTTTTATGATAGGAAGAAAAAAAATTGGTTCTGCCACATAAAGCAAAACATTTCTCCTTCAAAAAGACCAAACTTATGAGCTTTAAAACCCTTTTGCATTTCTAAGCTTAGATCTGTCAAAGCTGAATCAAATAACTTATTAACAACTCTCACGGTCACATATGTGAACTCAGCCTCAGACACATAGGTCTGAAAGGATGATACATTCCTACCTCCACAGGGATATTTCCAGCTACGGAGCCATCTGAACTCACCTCCAGACTCTACATAAACTCCAGGGCCCTGTCGCCTACTCACTGCTCAAGTTATTTTGAAGCCTTCTCAGTGTGCAATAGTGCCTACATGATAGCCTAAGAAAATATTTCATCAGAGAAGAGTAACAAAAGTCAAACAGTCCTACTTTTCCCCAAGAAGTTCCACCATGGACTCATACATAGTTTCAGCCAGGAAAGGGTATAGAGTAATGACACACCATCCCCCACAACCTTAAGAAAGTCCAGTCCTGAAATAAATGGAAGAAGTGAACATTTTCTGTTATAAAAGAAGTTGCATCCTAAAGGCAAGGATGAGGGCACACGTGAGCCCCTTCATCACAAAGCTGCGCGTTGGCTGGGTTTTACACTAAGTATCTGGAGAAAAGAGAGAGGAGTGAGCATCCCAGACGGTGATACCAGGTCACTGACTTTCTTGGTTACAAGTAGAGCTTAAGTAATAGACTTTTAAGCTTGGAGAGACAAGGAGACTTGATCTCATCCCCATAATGACTATGACTTGTTGATTCTTCATATTTGAAGAGGAAGAGTTCAAAGTTGATTTTATTTCTCTCCTCTCAGCCTGGGAGCAGTAGGCGTCCAGAGCAAACCAAAAGAACTTATTCTAGGGAAAGCGAAAGGGAAGCCAATGTAGGAAGTAGAGGGAGGTGTTACATGGATCACAGTTCTTGAACTGAGTTAACTACCCTAAGCCTCCTTTTTTCCCCTTGCTTACCCCAGGGGGTTAGTTTTGCCTGACTTCTCAGCACTCTTCTCGAGTGGCTCTGGAGTCTCTTTTGGAAGAAAAATAAAACATGGTCTATAGAAGAAGGTGCTTGTACCAGGTGAGTAGGTTAGCAGAAGTTGTCTCCACACAGGCAAGGGTATGACCAGAGCTGGTAAACGCCCAGGAAACTGGGTTCACAGAAGCAGAAAGACTACAGCATTTGGATGAGAACAATTTCCCCACAATAGTCTTTTTTCTTTAGGGTTTATCTTAAAATTAGCATGTTTTCCCTTCCCTGACTGTGGTGTGCCATCCAGGAAAATGGGAAATTTTGAGAGCTTGCCATATCATGGGCAGATAAGGGATGGCAGCTCCGAACAAAGTCAACCTTCAGCCTTCCTTTTCCCCAAAGGTTGGCTGTAACCTCCGGCTTGCCACGGACACAGAATCCACCTGACAAAGCCCACTACTCACGTACTTGGCTTGACGGAAAGCAGAGTGCCAGTCCCAAAGATGAGCTTGTTTGCAGAACTCCCATAATTCACACAGTCCTTCAGAGCCTTACACTAACCCTCGGTGGGGGGTGAAGGGTGGGCATGGCAGGATGGGGTGAGGGCAGCTCAGTCCCACTGCTGCAAAAGCTGACTTTCCAGGTATCCCTTCAACCTTCATATTCCCCTGACATGCCCTGGTGCTGCCTTTTAAGTTACATCCTTACGGGGTTTGTGCTAAGGCCTAGAACCCTGGGAGATTCCAGCAAGTGACTGGGAGCTTTGCAGGCATCTGCTCTCCTGGGACAGCAACCTGGGCAAGGTTGTCAGGAAAGCTGCACGCACGCTATTTTTCACCTTTGAAAATTTCAGTCTTTGACTGTGGCCCTTTCCCTTTGCTTTGAATTTGCTTTTCCAATGGAATGAGGCTGTTTCTATCCTTGAGAAAGAATTCTAACCGTATCAGAGGGAATTAGACACTCCCTAACAACCTGGCTCTGCTCTCTTAGAGGGCTAGTTAAGTATTATTCATTCTGGAAGCAACTAGACCAAACAAAAGAGTCGGTGGCTGACATAGCTTCTCACTGGGAATGAAGACCCCACTTGGGTAGAGTGCATCATCTCCAGCAGGCTGGACTGTTCTTAAAAATATAATTTGTATGCTCTGCTGCGTGCATTATTCAACTAGTGTCTCACAGTCACATCTCTGAGTCTTACCTGGCTTTATAATTAGCTTGGTCCCAGTGCCCCAGATCAACCGATAGTTGCTATCCACACAGACACAGAAACCTTAACAAAAACCTTCACTGTCCTTCTGGGGAGCTTATTAGAGATAAAGCCCAGATAAAAAGTCTAGAGCAAAGCACATAAAACAATGTAGGAGTATTGGCTATTGGAGATTATTTGCTCATTTAATTACATTTGATTCCCTTGCCCATTATAGATTCCAGACACAGATGATGAAATCAAATGACTAAACATCCAAAGTCAATCTAGATCTCTCTGCATGTAAGGGAAACGTAATTCATCAACAGTTTTCAAATTGGAGAAGCTGAACTTGCTTCACCTTCCCTGATATTTTAAATAAAAATGCAAAAGCGAGAAACAGATCATTTGTTTGGAGTCATAATGCACCTGACTCTGTAGTGTCTTAACTTCACTGCTGATAAGATTTTAGTCAGCACCATGGTGTTCACATACAGACTAAATTGTCCTGGTTTATACAGGGTTCCGTCTGTGAGAAATGGCACCCTGTGGACTGTGGCCCCAGGCAGCTAGAGATGCTGAAGCCCTTATAGAACCCGTCGTCCGGAAGGGTGGCCTGTAGCACTGTGAGAATGTACCAAAATGAGTTGTCTGTGTTTAGAAAACATCTTTTCAAAATTGCTCCTTGGTTTCTAGTACTTACTTGGAAAGACTTGCAATCTGGTCCCAGTCCCAAAGATGAACTTGTCATTGTTGGAGGACACAGTGATACTGAGACCAACAAAAACCTCCTAAGCCCCTCTGCTCTTTCCCTGTTACTGGCACCGAATGACTATCAACAGCAAAGAAGATCTGGGGATACATTTAAAGCACCAGTGCAATCAAACAGTCAGTTTTTGTTTCGGTTAAGTTTCATCTCCTAAAAATACCTATGACCTGTGCTTATTATGTTTGCAATACACAAAGTGACAGCTCAAGATAATTCACTGTAAGAAAGCAGGGAGTCTCAAGCTCTAATCCCAGTTCTGATTTTTTTTTGTTTGCTTTTGGTTTGACTGAAATTATTTAACGTGTCTGTGTGTCAGCTTTTCTGTGAAGTATGTTTGATGATATATGACCCTGTTTAACTTATCAGAGAACATTGCGGGATAAAAGGCCTGGTCGTGGTGCAGTGGGTTACAGATTGAAACGCATTTTGAATAATGTGGGAAAAACATGATTGTTCAAGTCAAGATATTATTAACACAAATAGCAGGAACTACGATAGCTGAAGTTTATTGTCAAAATAACTAACAGAAAAGCTTTCCTAGTGAAAACTGAAAGAGAATATATCTGTCTTACATGTTTTCCCGTAAGAAAGTTAGTGGATATACCTCTTAATCTGCCAGAAGAGACAGGCATGGAAAAGGCCAGCTTAATTCTGAGGTCTGAATGCCAGGGGAGAAGAAGAAATGATTATTTTCCCACAGCAGTGAATAAGCACAGATTAGGTTCCCATGACATGCTAATTTCCCTTTGCTATTGGCAGTGTTGAATGGAACCAGTCAAAGTTATTTTTAAAAATCAATTCGACCATCTTAATGGTCAAACTGGCTATGTAGGTACACCCAGAAATTGTACCCTATCAGTGACTAGCTGGGAAATGGGTGTGTGTGTGTGTGTGAAGAACTCGTCTATATGATTTATAGACATATTAGCCCACAGAAAGGAGAAAAGACACACTTACTTGGCATAACAATCACTTGAGTGCCAGACCCGAGATGCAGCGTACCCCCAAAGCCTGTCTGTCCACAATGGATCACTTCACTACAAAAACCCTGCCACCTCTTCATAGCCACATATCCCGGGTCCCAAGGTGGAAGCTCAAGTTTCTCAGGCATGAGAGAGGATTCGGGCACACATGTCACGAAGGCCATGGTATTCCTTATTCCATCTCAGACCTTCCTTTCGAAGGCTCTTCCTCCTCCTGGGCCCCGCTCCAGCCTTCAAGTAGGCAACAGTATCACATGGCAGCCTCCTCCACCCCTGCAGGGGCTCTGCTGGGGCCCACTCTCAGGGAGGATTTGAGGATCACTAAAGGCGCTAAGAAACTGCTCAGAAATACAACTGATGGCTAAAGAGGCAGGCAGCAGCATGTGGCGAGGGTGCCAGTGCCGCGTGTGGGCATGGTAGCCAGGCATCCAAAGGAGAGAGCAAGGAGTTAGATGCTGGAGTTGGAGATGGAAGGGACAGGATGGAGAGGGGAAGGGTCTGAAAACAAAGGCAAGAAGAACAGATACACACTAACGGCTGATGTCAAAATTAGTCACGCTCTGCTGTGTGAGTACACACAAGTTCTAGGCGAAAGAGACTTTCCTGGCTCTGTCAGCTGCTCTGACCTATTTAGTACTGTTCTACCTTCTGTGACAACCTCTACGTGCAGCTGAGAAGCTCCACACCACAAACGGAGACCACCTCCCTGTCTGATTTCTGTCCTGAAGAGCCATCTGACCAAATGTTCTGCACGAGGGGGTGGGAACTGCAGACACAAAAAGATACTCAGAATCTGTTTCTCTCTTCCCAATTAGGCTGTCAATCTGTTTAGCTAATAAGTCGTATAAAGTGTCTTAATCTCTTCCCAGGAAAGGAGTCATATAAATGCAAAATAGCAGCGGCAATAAGTCAAATGGCTTGCTGCGGAATCTTTGTGTGAAGAGACACCGTTTAGTAGAAGGAAAACTTTCTGCATGGAGAGGAGACAGACTGAGAAAAAAACCACAACAGCATTTGTTTTTATTAGGCTGAGTCTACACAGCACAAAGTAAAACAGATTTGGCAATTATTTAGGTAATGTGACAGTCAATTTAAGCAATTTTGAGCACAAAGAAGTTTTCTCAAGGAAGTGCCTAAATATCTGGATCAGCTACCGACATTAATCAAATTAACTGGACAATTGTGCTGTATAGACACAAACTAATAAATGTACCCTGAGATAGTTCTTCTGAAAGGCTTACATTTTATAAGCGTAACATTAAAACTGGTCCAATATTTATAACCACTCTCTTCATCCTGGCACTGCAGTTGACATTGTCCAATTTTTCTTGCAACGCAAGTCTTACACTGAGAGCTGCAAAGGTAAGGGTGACCTTCTTCCCGGAGAGTCTTATCAGGTTAACACATGGAAGCTCATTTAGAAATTCATTAGGTGTCTGGGATGTGAGAGCTGGTCATTACAGATTAAGAGCTTTTTCTCAAGTGGCAAAGGACTTACGGGGAATAATGGTGAGTCTTGTTCCAGTCCCAAAGATGAGTTTGCTTAGCCCAGAAGTTGACACAGTGTTTCTGCCCAGTATAAAAACACTTTCCTACTCTGCTAGATCTTCTTCTTCCTCTGTAAAGTTTACCACCAAGGGCATGTTTTACACATTGGGACTCCTACTTGGTGATAACCTTTTAAAAACCATCCTATACAAAGTACTGTTTTTCATGTTTCCTAATAAATAATAAAAAATCCAAACAACCCACAGTCCCCTTTCTCTCACCAATTTTTTTTTTTTCCAAACAAAACTTGACATTTCCATGCTACCTATTTTCTCCCTGGAAGATAATGTTTGAAGAATTCTAGTGGTCACAGGGTTGGCTTCTATTCTAGTATACTATTGTGTGAAATCACCTTTATTTTTTGTGAGCCTCCCACATTTGATGTTTTTATTCCTCCCAAGTCAGCCAAACTTCCATTCTCTCAGCCTTAGCCTAGAAATTCCAGACCCAACACATCTCAAGCCTTGCTGCTCTATTTTTTTTTTTTTTTACAAGCAGAAAGATCTGTATTTGCCACTAGCTGAAACGAAATGGGTTAGAAAAGACCACGTTACCCAGACTTTCCACATATTCTACTTATTTTTATAAAAGGAAAATATAACCTAAAAATAAGAGTCATTGGTTGGAAGTTGAAAAGGCAGAGGAGATTAACCAAAAAAATGAACCTTCATAGCTCACGTGGGAACATTCAGACCTACCTGGTTTTACTTGTAAAGTTGACCCTTGCCCAAAGATTAGTTTTCCTGTGTTGCTTGAGTCACACTCTAGTGCTATACTTTACAAAAACAGTAAGCGGGGACCATTTCTATTTTTCCTTCCTTCCCTCCAGCAGCCTGATCTAGTATAATAAAAACACGTACTGAAGACTTACTATGGGCATTAACTCTTTTCATCTCAAAACATCTCAGGGAGCTGGGATGTGAGAGCCGGTCACTACAGATGAGAAAAATGAGGCATAAAGAGATTAAGTAACATGCTCAAGGTCATGCATCTAGTATGTGGCAGAGTAAGGATTTGTCTAAACAGTCTGATTCCAAAATTCATGTTCTTGACCAACATGCCACACCTTTCATTAGTGTCCGCCCCCCACCCCACTGTATGTTCTCCTTCGAAGTGTGTATACTAGTAACACTGACAAAATAGTTAGCTCACTGACCCTAATGAATACATTCTGAGATAGTTCTTCTGAAAGCCTTACATTTTATAAACTTAACATTAAAACTGGTCCAATATTTATACCCACTCTCTTCATTTTGGCACTGTAATTGACATTTCCCATTTTTCTTTACTACGCATTTTATATTTAGAACTGCAAAGCCAAGGGTGACCTTCTCCCTGGAGAGTTTTATTGGTCTAGCACATGCAAGCTCTTTAGAAATTCATTCATGCCCCTATCGAAGGTGCCTTTCCCGGAGCCCCTAGCTCTGTTGTACACTCCATTCTCCTCCTCGAGCCTTGCCAAGCTAAGAGCTCCAGCACTGACCCAGCTCCTAGCCCCAGCCAAGGCCACAGCAGACCCTGCTAGGAACACAATGTGGTTTGTGAAGCAAAATGCTGAACAGGGTAGGGGGTCTCTAAGATGCTCCTGAAGATTCTTAGAGTAACTTCTCTCAGAAGGCCAGAATTAGGGTGAAATCAACTCCTTCCCTGTTACTGCTAGCAAATCCACAACAAGGCTCTAAGCCAATGAGAACGGAGAGATGTAGGAGTTATATGGCCAGTTTGAGTCATTCTGGATAATCTGTGGTGGGAGATATTCTCA